TGATTACAAGAAGTTGAACTCTCTTACTCGAAAAGATCATTTTCCTCTTTCCTTTATAATTCAAATAATTGAAAGATTAGCTGGGAAAATAATATACCACCATCTTGATTTCAGTTTCATCCTCAGTGTTAGAATCATCATTGTTTCCTAGCTTGTCATTCCTTATAGCACTTTCAATCATCTCTCTACACATGACAATATCAAAAAATTTCTTTGTAGCAACCCTAAGTATATGATTGATATATGGAGATTTCAACGTGTCAATAAATGAGGTGATGAACTCCCTTTCGGTCATTGATGGGTGCACCAAGGAAACAACGTCCTTCCATCATTATACATATTGTCAGAAGCTCTTGTTACTCATCTTCATGTTTGTAACGTTGTTCGGTCAGGGGCCATTTCAGTTATGTGTTTATATTGATATAGAAAAGCATGAGCTAAATACTTCCATAAGCGAATTTTAGTGCGACTTAGTTTATTATACCACGTAGAAGCGGGTCTGATTAGGCTATCTTGAAATCAGTGGATTAACATTTTATCATTACTGGTGTAGCCATTCATCATTTGAATAAACATCGTGAGATGAGCAATATGACAACTGATTCTATTGTATTTTTCAAATTCGGGCATTTTGAATTTGGGTGGGAGCACTAAGTCGAAGACCAAATCTAACTCTTATGCATCCCCTTCATCTTGGGAGTTCTGTCTACTAATTCCTTTAAGATAGTTTTTGAACCAACTCTTCAAATTATCAAGGATCTTATTCCCAACATTCTTCATTTAATCAGAATAAGACATACTATAATTAGTGGGGCTACAACGAGCATTGGTCTTGGCTTCTTGAGTCTTAAGGGCAGATAAACTTGCTTCGTGACTTTGAAGCCTCCCAGGTGAAATGATTAGCTTGTGGAGCAACATGTCGTCACACACTCAATGGTTATCTCATTCGGTAAAATCTTCTCCTTAACTTTTTCCTTGTTAATATTAGCCAATTTTTCAACAATCTGGCCTACCATGTTGGCCTGGTTTCGCAAAATGAAATCCATAGCGGTCTTTTGTAATTGCTCTAATTTGGATTCCCAGTTTGTTTGTATTTTCTGCATACTCTCTTGCAGTTTTTTCTTCAATTGCTTAAACTTTGCTTCCATCTTTAGTACTTTGATAAGATCAATGCCATGGAATTCCTCACGAATTAAACCCATGTTTTCATTAATTATTCATGCGAAAATTCTTAAATAAAATACAATGTAAATACAAAATTCATATATGAAAATGCGAGTGCAATGTAAAAAGGTATTGATCCCAAAGATGAATATCCTAGAACAAGTTTCATTAGAGACGAAAGTCTTCATTATTCAAGATAATCCATTTTCACATACATGTTTTTGTTTGCTTGGTCTAAAGTAGGTCGATGCTTGTTCTCAAAGCTTTGTCCTTGAAAACTATACCCTTCAAGTGTTGATGATTAAAGGTGTGCATTAAGTCTTGATCATTAAAGGTGCAACAATTGTAGGTAAAATTTTGTAGCTTCATCGTTGCTTGGATCAAGTGATCACCTGTCAAATCTCGGATGATGTTATATTGATCAACCTTTATGTCTAATCTTCAAGCGAGTTTCCTCATCGTTCTTATAAGCTTTCATTGTCAAACAATGCATGTATATGTGTGAGATTACTTGAGAGATAAACTTTTTCTCTATTTATGAAAATATTTCAATTAGAGATTCATCTGTGGATCTACAACTATGTGATGATGATATAATGTGAGAAATGACAAAGATATGAAAAAATGAATCAGTACATATAAAATAATCGATAAATATAAAGTATTATTCAAAGACGAATATAACACATATCCAAACATGCCTTTACTTTAGGTTTAATCTTACCTAGACATGTTTTCTACCTGACATGCTTTATTTTAAAAAATTTAGTCTTAACCGCATGGTATCTAGTTCGTATGCTTTCATATGGTAAGAAAATTATTCTATGAATTTAAAGTAAATGGTGAAAGTTCAAAATCAGTTCTCCTTTGTGTACTCTTATTAGGGTGACTACCGTCGGAAACAATTTTCCATTGCTCTACCTAATGTGGCGATTCTATGGTTCACTATATGCATGATTTCGGCTCTAAGGTAATAGAGGTACTGGAATTGTCCTTGATGTCGGTGCCCCCTTGGGCTACCAAACCCTCAATTCTCATCCATTATAGACTTAAATGGTTAGAGTTTAATTGAGGAAGTACATTCCTTATGTCTACACGGAGGGCTCCTCACGAAGATCATAAAGGCATGTACTTCGGGAGTGATTCACTAGCCTATGCGAAGGGCTACTCACGAAGGCACTAGTGACTCACTTCCACTTAGTGGGACGAAGCTCGGGATAGAGCTCATGATATGCAAATGCACGTGATGTATGTGAGGAATAACTCACAAACCTTTTGACAAAATAAAATAAAATAATATAAAAAATCACGACTCATTTTCAAAAACCTTAACAAGTCTGAAAACAATGAAATCAAACATTAGCATAACTATTTACAAGAGTAAAAACATGATGCATGATAAAAACAATTGAAATTAAAAGGATCGTAAATTAAATAATAGTTAAAATTTGTAAAATTTTATTCACTCGGACAATGTATAATCGAACAAGGTCTGACTCTCAAATGTCCCCAGTAGAGTCGTCAAGCTGTCATAACCATTTTTTCTTATAAATAATTAAATTTAAAAATGATTATGATTTTATTTTTAGAAAATTTGAATTTTGTTAATGTGAAATTTAGAGTCGCTATTGAACTTTGGGCTAGGTAGATCGAATACCTAAAAATGTCTTTTAAAAGATAGAAATTTTAAGAAAAATCATTTTAAAGATATAAATTGGCCTACATATCACTAGAAATTCATTCTTTCAGGATTCGAGTGTCGGTTACGTGTGAGGTAAGATTAGTACTCTCACAACGCCCAAAATTTGTACCTTTATTTAAATCGTTGTCTAAATAGCGAAAGTTTACAGATTTTAATTCAATATTTAAGTTACGATCCTTTTATTTTGATGACATTTTTTAGAATGAATCTATTTTAAAAATATTTGATATGATGAACATGATTTAACTCACTCGATTTTATTTAAAAATGATGTTTTCTTATTACGTGAATTAATTGGAATTGAAATACAGTCATGTTAGACGTAATTTCGTCATCACACGACGTAAAATAACATTACCTTTGATAATTTTTTAAAACGAATGTATGATTCATTAATATAGCAGTTAATAAATGACATGTATAGGATGTATGGAATATCAATCAAATAAATAAAAAATGATACAAAATGACACAAAAACACTTATAATTATTAATTTAGAAATTAACGATATGCCTTTCACTCGTAAGTCTTAAAGAAAAACACTCTAGGATAGGGGTGTAAACGAGCCGAGTCGAGCACGAGTATTGCTGAGCTCGACTCGACTCGAAAACTCACGAGCTTAAAATTTTCAAGCTCGATTCGAACTCGAAATCCTGAACTGAAGCTCGTGAGCAGCTCGAAAAGACTCGAAATGAAGAAAAAAAATTCTTAAACTTAACTTGATTAAAGCCTCAAACTCAAATTCGAACATGAACCTTAAATATATGAAATCTTACTGTATTTAAAAAAAAAATCAATACATAAATATTAATATTATTATTAATTTATTTTTTAAAAATAAAATCTTAATATATTATATTTTCGAACTACTCATGAGCTTTTCGAGTCTAATATCGAGTAGCTCGTTTCACCTCGTTAAGAACTCGAGTCGAGTCCATTCGATTCGAGTATTTATCGAACATTGATCGAGTCGATCTCGAATAACTCGCGAGTTGTCTCGTCTCATTTACAACTGTTAACCATAAAATAAATATAATGTAGAGGTACATCGTGCACATAATATAATATACAATTTATAAAAGCGTTTATATATAGTAAAAAATATGAATATTCATAAAAAATATTAAAAGGGTCAAATTAAAATTTAATCTTTAATTAAATACATAAAAGGCGTTTAAAAATGTATGGAAGGTATTTAATATTCATAAAAGTCAAATTAATAAAAAAAAGGCACTTAAAATTTAATTATTAATTAAACACACAAAAAACATAAAAGGTATTTAATAAGATGTTTAGTTGCTATCTTATTAGATTCAATTAAGCAAGTTTGAGATGTTTGTAGTTCAGGTCGAACTTTCAGTTTTTTATTTCATTTAAATTTTGATTTGGAGTCATACTTACGTAACTATAGGACTTTAAATGAGACGAGACATATCGTAAGCTACTCAAGATCGACTTGGTCAAGCCTCGATAAATACTCGGATCGAATGAACTCGACTCGAGCTCAAATTCTTAACGAGCCGAAACGAATTATTTGATACTCGACTCGAAAAACTAGTAAAAACTCGTGAGCAACTCGAAAATATAATATATTAAGATTTTATTTTTTAAAATATAAATTATTAATAATATTAACATTTATGTGTTGAATTTTTAAAAAAAAATTACAATAAAACTTTTATGTATTTAAGATTTAGGTTCGAATTTGAGTTTGAATGTAGTTAAGTTTAAGATTTTTTTTCATTTCGAGCTGCTCACGAGCTTCAATTCAGGATTTCAAGTTTGAGTTTAAAATTTGAACCTCGTGAATCTTCGAATCGAACTTCATTTTAAAGTTTTCGAACTGAACTTTCGAATCGAATCAAACTCAACAATACCCGAATTCGACTCAACTCGTTTACACCGCTACTTACCTATTTCAAACTCAAGTAAACATCAATTTCTTTAATTTTTAATTTTCATCGATACTTGTTTACATAATTAACGTAACCCCATCTGAGATTTATATTAATCGTGAAATTATTGAAGTGAACAATATATCAAGCTTCAAAGGAATCATAAAAGCATATAAATATCATAGAAACTTCATATGATCGATAACCAAGTACAGGAAACCATAAACCTTGCAACATAAACAAACTATAAAAGTTCTTATAATTTATTTTTAGTAATTAGCCACTGCATCACAGCAAGCCCACACAAAGCATAAAAACCATAAACATAATGCTAGATCCCAATCAGCAATCACACTTCTTCAAATGATCATCACTCAGAAACCACCACGAAGGCGGAGGACTAGGTGGAGAGTGGATTCCTTCTGGATGTTGTAGTCCGCAAGAGTCCTGCCATCCTCCAGCTGCTTCCCTGCAAAGATCAGCCTCTGCTGGTCCGGAGGGATACCTTCCTTATCCTGGATCTTAGCCTTGACATTATCAATGGTGTCCGAGCTCTCAACCTCCAAGGTGATGGTCTTCCCAGTCAGTGTCTTCACAAAAATCTGCATACCACCACGGAGACGAAGCACCAAGTGAAGGGTCGACTCTTTCTGGATGTTGTAGTCAGCCAAGGTGCGGCCATCCTCGAGTTGTTTACCGGCAAATATCAACCTCTGCTGGTCTGGGGGGATACCCTCCTTATCTTGAATTTTAGCCTTGACATTGTCAATAGTGTCCGAGCTCTCAACCTCCAAGGTGATGGTCTTCCCAGTGAGTGTCTTCACAAAGATTTGCATACCACCACGGAGACGGAGCACCAAGTGAAGGGTGGATTCCTTTTGGATGTTGTAGTCAGCCAAGGTGCGGCCATCCTCGAGTTGTTTACCGGCAAATATCAATCTCTGCTGGTCTGGGGGGATACCCTCCTTATCTTGAATTTTAGCCTTGACATTGTCAATAGTGTCCGAGCTCTCAACCTCCAAGGTGATGGTCTTCCCAGTGAGTGTCTTCACAAAGATTTGCATACCACCGCGGAGACGGAGCACCAAGTGAAGGGTGGATTCCTTTTGGATGTTGTAGTCAGCCAAGGTGCGGCCATCCTCGAGTTGTTTACCGGCAAAGATCAATCTCTGCTGGTCTGGGGGGATCCCTTCCTTGTCTTGAATCTTGGCCTTAACGTTATCAATGGTGTCGGAGCTTTCCACCTCGAGGGTGATGGTCTTGCCAGTAAGGGTCTTAACAAAGATTTGCATACCACCCCTCAAACGAAGGACCAAGTGGAGGGTGGACTCCTTCTGAATGTTGTAGTCTGCAAGGGTACGGCCATCCTCCAGCTGTTTTCCAGCGAAGATAAGCCTCTGTTGGTCTGGTGGGATTCCTTCCTTGTCCTGGATCTTGGCCTTGACGTTATCAATGGTGTCGGAGCTTTCCACCTCAAGGGTGATGGTCTTGCCAGTAAGGGTCTTGACGAAGATTTGCATCTATTTTCAATCAAAATAAAACACATATAAGATTACTGCAAACAAAAACAAAATTACAAAACATGCATACAATCAAGACCGCAACTTTCACCCTATTTATAAGTACATATAGGAGGCTCGTTATCCCAACGTAATCTAAAACATTCAGATTGTTTCAATCAATTTCCAAACAAATTCACACCTTGGTAACCTAAATTTTATGGGGGGAAAACGAATCAATGCAATTTTTTTTAAATTCACAAGTTCGTAAAAATTCATGGAACAATTTACAGATTTAAAAAAGGTGAAATTCATAAACAATTTATAAGTAAATCTAACGGACTATTAATGATAAAAATCGACTGATAAAAGAAAACGTAACCAAATATTGAATTAACAGAAAAACATGAAATCAAAAAGAGGAAATGAAACCCTAGTCATAGTTCATCAAATATTCAAATCGATGGAACAAATAAAAAATCAATCAACCACAAAGAAATCAAAAACTAAAACCAATAAAAGAAAAACCGAGAAGATTAAATTACCTTGAAAATTTGAAGAAGAAATTGAAATTCAGGTCGATTTCGATGTTGGGATGGGAATTATCACACCCGATCGCCCTTGATTTATAGCCCAATTCGACAAATGAAATGACCAGAAAGGGCTTGCGTGAACCAATAGGATAAGGCTTACGCGTATTCGTGTTGTAGCCGCTGATGGCCAGCTAACATTTTTAGTCAATCGGTGCTTTCACAAGTCACGCTCTTTTGAGAAAGTGTTTACCACGCGCTACTATTATAAGCCGGCCCAGTGAGCAATGTGGATTCCCTACTATGTCTTTATAATATTTGCCTCTTTCGGCCTGCTCTATGAAATATAGTATACAATTACAAAGGACTATTATTAATTAGGGTAAATTACTTCAAAAACTATTCACTTTTAAGTTCGGATTTATTTATACCACTAACGTTTTAATTTTTATCAACTTTAGTACTAAAGTTTATTTTTAAGTGCAATTATGTCACTTCACCGTTAATGATCTAACGGGACGATGACATGACAATAGTAAGTCGTGACGTCACTAACGTGGTTACCTCACCAACGTGGTTACCTCACCAAAATAACTTCGTTTTGGCATGACTGCATTTGATGCTAAAAAACCCAAAATGATGTTTTGTTTTGAGAAAATTTAATAAAAAAATGTAACCAAAAGGATTTGAACTCAAGACCCTTAAAAGCCAAGACAAAGGCTTAATCACTACACCAACCTAAAGTTTTGATATAATCTTACGAACATAATATACATAACATGAGCTACGCATTCCAAATGTTATTTTTTTTTAACTCATAAAGTTATTAAAATTCCTAAATAACACCCTAAATTTTAGAAATTTCCTAAAAAAACTCCTAAATTCCTAAAAAACCCAAAAAAATAAAATAAAATGCTTGAATCAATCTGCGGATGCATTCTTGATGAATCCGAGGGTGGTTAAGTTCTGAAAATTTTAAAACTTATGGGGTTTTCGTGTCATATTTTTGTTGTATTTTTAAATTTTAGGGCTCATTGAATTCGTCTATAGGGAAATTTGTTGTTTTATTATTGATATTGTTATTTTTAATGTGTAAATGTTGTTTTTAAGACTAGTTTTCGGGGAAGATTTTGTTTTAGTTTCCTCCTTGAAAATATTTCGGATTTTAGGAATTTAGTATTGTTTTGATTATTTCTGGAATTTAGGGTTTTATTTAAGACTTTTAATAATTTCATGAATTTTTTTAGAAAATAACATTTGGAATGTGTGACTCATGTAATGTATATTATGTTTGTAATGTTATATAAAAATTAAGGTTAGTACAATGGTTAAGACTTAGACTTTGATATAAAGGGTCTTGAGTTTGAATCCCCTTGGTTACATTATTTATTAAATTTTCTCAAAATAAAATTATGTTGTTTTGGTGAGATAGCTAAGTTAGCAACGTCATGGTGCACAACTGTCATGTTATTATTCCGTTAGATCAATAACGACGGAGTAACAAGATTGAGTTTAAAGGTAAGTAGTATTTGAAGTAGTTTATCCTATTAATTATTATATAGATATTAATTGTGAATAGTGACAACATAAGAATGTAATATTTTTAAGGGTAAACTATGCTAATGGTCACTCAATGTTAACAACTATTAACAATCGTTACTGCAGTAACATAATATTTGTCATGACACGTTAAATCAGCTGACTCAGCATGTTTAACTGACCGTTTGATTCTTCTTCTTCATAATAACAAACCCTCTTGAAAAGCAAGGCCACCGCCATTCCACTCGACCAAGATCTGGTGTTTAGTTTAGCTATATTTTTCTTTGGATTTTGACTTGAAAAACACCTCACTTTCCATGGAGTCTCTCAGATCAGGTAGCTTTCTCTTTCCATGAAACCAGTGTTTTGAAAATCGGACCGGCCGATTCAATCGGGAACCGCTGTCTGGTCCGGTTTATTGTAATCCGGTTAAACCACTACTATTGAATCGGACGAAACCACTGAACCGTTCGAACCGGACCGGACCGTGAACCGGTTGAACCGCCAATTTTTTTTAAAAAAAAAAAATTAAACCAAACGACGTCGTTTGTTAAACGAGCCGAGTCGAACTCGAGTATTGCTAAGCTCGACTCGAACTTGAAAACTTTAAAAGTAAGCTCAACTCGACTCAAACTCACGAGCTAAAAATTATCAAGTTCAACTCGAACTCGAAATATAATATTGAAACTTGAACTCGAAAAGGCTTGAACTCAAAAAAAATTAGAAGCTCGATTGAAGTGTAACATCCTCAATACCGGGTTAGTGACTAAATTGTAAGGTTTCAAAATTTGGTGATTTAAATTATAATAATTGAGTGGTTTAAAGACTTATATGAGAAATGAGGTGTAAGATCAAATTGAAAAGAATGAGGAATGAAAGGATAGTATGCTCATTCGCAAAGAAAAGAAAAATATAATAATAATATATGGTATATATAGATACACGTGGAAGGAAGGAAACAAAGTTTAGAGGTTTCCAGAGTTCTCTTCTTTTTTTCTTCTTCTTCTTCACGTGTGAAGCCAAGCAAATGTGAGTTTTCTCTTGAGCTGATTATGTGCTGAAATTTAAGTTTAGTTTTGATTATTAGATGCTAAGTAAGATTAAGGAAATATTGATTTGCTTTAAAACAACAAGATGAAGAGTTTATGAGGATTTAAAGATTTGGAGTTTTTGAATGAAATATCGAAATAAAGTTTATATTGAGAATTGGAAGTTGAATTTGACTTGTCTCGAACTTGATTAAAGGATATGAAGGGTTAGAATCAGAATTATATCATATGGGAATTTGAGTGAAATTCTTAAATTCTATGTGGAGGAATGAATTTTGAAGTGTAAGAGATATTGAATGGGTATTAATTAGTTTAAATAAGTGTATGAGAGTTAAGAACATGAAAGGGGATGAAATATGAAGCATTTGAGTTGTTTTGAGTAGATTTTCGGGATTTAAAATGAATTCTGAGCTATGTGCATCGATGCAAATTCAAGGTGCACCGATGCATCAAGGGTAAATCTCTAGAAATTGTTCAGTGTGTATCGATGCACCTATTAAAATGGAAACATCGAATGCAATTGGTGCATCGATGCATAAGGAGTGCATCGATGCATCCCCTTAAAATGAAAACATCGAAGGTGATTTGTGCATCGATGCACGGGTACTGCATCGATGCACATGCTAAAGAATGCATCGATGCACTGTTGAATGCATCGATGCACTTCAAGAGAAATAGAAATAAATCTTTCTTTTGGTCTAAGAAATGATAGATTAGAGTATATTAATTGGATACTGATATGTATCAATGTATTATTATGTAGTTATTGAACGTGACTTTGCTTCAAAGTAATCGAAGGGTTAGAATTGATTCAATTCAAAACAAGGCTAAGGTGAGTGCATATGCGTAACATGATTATGTTAGTATATTCAATTCTAGACTTGCGATAAGTTTAGATTTAATATCTTGATACATGATTCATTCAATATTATTAAAGATGATATGAATTCATACCATATGCATTATGGGATATACTATGCAGATTGTGGTACGTCTATTTTCCAGATTAGAGCTTATATATGAATGTATGTGTCATATGGGATTGAATGAGTTACGAGATATCTATATTAGGTATATGAAGTGTGTGTGATGTGTTTTTTATGGTTTATATGTATGAATGAGCATATGTATTGACATGTTACAGTATATATATATTATATGAGTTGTGTAAATAGGTAGATAAATGTGTTAAATATGTGAAATAGTTAAAATGATCAATATAATTTCATAAGAATATGAAATAAGAAGTGTGAAAAGGACATAAGAAAGAATATGAAATATATAGCATATGAATATGAAATCATATGAGGGGTGACATGAATTATATGAAAAATAAACTACGTGATTACAAATATATGAAAATATGCTAGTGTAATGGGACCTAGGAACTAGTATACGTGATATATATACATTTATATAAGTTATTGGATGAAAAATGAACAAGAGATAAAAGAGATGAAGGATAATACTATAGGAGTATGATAAAAACATAAATGATGACATGTATGTATGTATGTATGTAATGGTTATATGAAAAGGTATAGGTGATAAGATGATCATATGAACATGTGATAAAGAGCTATAGGAAAAGAAAAATGTGATATGATGTGTGAATATATAATAAGGTAAAAGACAATGCTCATGATATGAGTTATGAGAACTGTAGGTATAGTTGGCATGCTAAGAGTCAAAGAACTACCTATGTCTTTCGAGACATATGGACTGTATACCGATGTTCTAAGGAACATATGAATAGTTTACCTAGGTTCTTCGGGACCTATGGACAGTTACCGAGGATCTTTATGACCTCTGGATAGTTACCGAGGATCTTTATGACCTCTGGATAGTTACCGAGGATCTTTATGACCCCTGGATAGGTCATTCGGAACATTCATTAAGCTGTGGTGACATCATACGTGTGCACAACTCATAATACTCGTATACCTTGGGTTCTCAATAGTGTATATGGGCTTAAATAGGACATAACGAGGATGTATATAATTGTATCTTAATATGGTATTATTATGATTTATATTGTCTCATATGTGGTATAATAAATGATGGTATGATAGTATAATTGCGTTTGGATAGTAGACGACATGTTTATATTTTTAGTAATTCTTTATTATGTAATTATGCCTCACTAAGTCTATGACTTAGCGTGTAAGTGTTTTTACATGTAGGTTTCGAAGAGCAGGAGAATCAAGAATAGGAATTTACAGATCAACATATCTCTACTCAACGATCAGATCAGAAGGAAAGTCATAGTAGGTATTTTGTTGTATGTAGTGTGTTGGCATGTAAGAAAAGTGTTAGTTACAAATGTTCTGATTAGTTTTGTCTTGTTTTGGTTAACTCGTGTACAATGACAATGTTATTTTAATAAAAGTTTTAAATTTCATTGGTTTTCGTTAAAAGTTTAAAGTTTGAATAGTCAATGTGACACCTCAGACTTGTATCCGGGTCGGATACGGGTTGAGGGTGTTACATGAAGCCTAAAATTCAAGCTTGATTGAAGCAAAAAAATAGTTCACTC